CATATGGGTGGTATTCTGATTTCTGCTGTTCAGATGACCTGCTTTTCCCCACCACTGTGTCCACTGTTGGAAGAAAAAGCCAGACAAATTGGAAGCAACTCTAAAATGTCTGACAAAGCTGCAACATCCTATAAAAGATTATTTTCTTCTAGAGCTTTGATTCCATAACCATCTTCATTGGTCAGCACAGGCTAGATTTATTGCAAAAATAGATTTTAGTTATGGACTTTTCTGTTTGTAAGTAAATCTTGCTCTGTGTGCTGGATGTAGGGAACTGCCTTCAGTCTGACTTCATCTTTACTAGGTCTGACTGTTACAGGAATAAAAAGGGCACTTTTAAAGCTCTCCAGCAGATGAGGGATGCAGGGGGGACGATTTCAGACCTTGTGGGAGTCAGCAGCCCGGGTGGCCTCCTTCACAGTCACTTAAGCAGCAAATTGGTCTGCTGAAGGTAGGCCCTTGAGTTGCTGCATAGCCATCGCTCTGTCCTGATAGATGGAGGCAGAGCCTGAGAGACATTTCTAAGGTAAATAAAAAACTAAAGCTGTGCAGAAGGAGCACAAGGAGCCTTTTCTGTAGATCACACTCGCAAAATCTATCACTTGGGGCTTGTCAAGGCAAAGGTAGTTGGTGACTGGATCAGTGCCTGTTGCAAAAGCCCTGTTTCGGGTTCGTGCTGTTTGTACTAGTTTAGATTTCCTTCATCAAGAATAATTCCTCACAGACACGAGTACCACTAACTGGAGCAGCCGCTGATGCTGATTTCAGCATCACATGGAAAGGCAGTGGCACACACCTTGGACCTGTGGGAGCATTCGGCTGCAGCAGCCGCCTTGCACCTCCTCTCTGTACACTCACAGTGAAACCCGCTTGTGAGCTACAAATATCACAGGGCTGTCAGAAGTCTTGACTTTGGGGCTTGGGACTTGAGCCAGTTCTGCTGAGCACCCTCTCCAACACGAAGCTGAGTCCTCCAAGTCACACTGCCTTCTTTTTTTCATTCTTCAGTATTTCTCCTCCTGCCAGTCACCCCTGGTTTTCCTTTCCCTCATGGACAAACTGCAGAGGCTGTAGGCAATGGGGTCTCTTGCAGGTGCTGAACACGACTGCCTGTGGCTAGTTTTCTGCTGGATTAGTGCATTGAATTGGTTTGGTAAATGGCACGGCTGGGACAAGAAGGGAGGAGGCCGGCAGAGGGGCACAGCCCGAGGCAGAGAGGAGGGCAGGGAGCCAGGCATCCCTCTTTCCCTCCCAAGTAAGCTCAGACACTTTAGGTAACTGCACCCAAGGAAATTCAGGGCCACATAAAGGTGGGAGACATCTCGAATATGAGTCTGGCAGGATCCAGGCCCAGTTTACTCACAGTGCAGCTCTGTGTTAACTCACAGTCCAGATCGCAGTGTTTGAGAAACTCTGGTGCACACTTTTTTTTTCCTCACGCTTATGCTAATTTGGATTTTGTACATGAAAGTGTTTACATAATAAGCCAGAACTGGGTTCTGTATCTGCGTTGTCTACAATATGGTCTCAAATTGAGCCATTCCACCGAAGCATTTATCTCTTCCCTTCATGTGATTTAGAACATGTTTATCTCTGTTCCTTGTCACATTTTAAAGTCTTTGTGTTTTTCTTTCTCTCTCTGATAATGTTCTCTATCTGCTTCACTTTTAATATACTGTTTTGAGAACAAAGTGAACTTATTTTGATCTCTCTCACTTATACATTTATGAGTTTATTTGTCCTTTGCAGGCAGCCATTCGAAAAGAGCTTAATGAATTTAAAAGCACTGAAATGGAAGTTCATGAATTAAGTAGGCATCTAACAAGGTAAGCTGAGATTAATTTTTAAGACTATCAATGAATACTGTTGTTTTCAAAAAAAAAACCCAGCAGCTGTTTCTCCAACACCCGCTGAACACACTATGAGGTCTAAACAACATTTAGAATTACAGGCCGTAAAAGAAACTTGCACAGACGTACTCATGCTGTCTCATTACATGGCAGTATGCAGGCACATGTCGTCTGTTTAATAAAGTGTAACCTTCTTTCATTTTTTAAATCATCGTGCTCTAGCTGCATGTCTGTCCTTCTGATACCAGAAGTAAATAGCGTTGGTGTCTGAAGGAGGACAGGGAACTCTTGCAGAGCCAGTACATAGCCAGGTATGAATGAGCGTACATGCAAACCCCGCTGAGCATACGGCTGTTCCACGCTGCGCATGTCCCACGCACAGATCTCTCAATCCTGCATCTTGCCATAGGCCATGCAGTGGGGAAATAGCAAGATCGGCATTATAAGAGAGGCACTATTTTTTACACTTTTTAGGCTTTTTTTAGTTAAAAAGGTAGACTGCATGAATTATCCATGACCCCAAACTACCAAACCTCCTCTCGGACAGGCTAGGGCCGAGGCATGCTAGGGGGTCAGGGCACGTCCCCTCACACAGCCTGTGCTGAGTCTGCCCTGGCTTTGATGCTGAGATGAGCTGAACTCCAGGCATTTCAGCTCAAGTCAGGCCTTTGCAAATCAACATTAACCCCCACTCATTCTTAGATGCTAAAAGGGTTAGGTATTGAAGGCAAGTGAGAGTGACATCTGGTGCAAAACCAGAGCTGCCCTTGTATTAATACGTTCATCAGCTAGGAGCTTATAAAAAAATGCAGTTAATACTTTTAAGAAAAATACAGAAAAGCTTAAGGCAAAATTAATTTTGTTTTAGGGGATTTTTATGTGTATAAATTAATAATGATATTAAAATTCACCACATGTATTATGCATATATTCCCTTGCAGAAACGATCTCCCTTCTACTTCCTAGCATGTGCTAGGATGGTTGCACTGGGGTTCATACTAACGGAGTGCTGCTAGAGGCGAGGCAGCTGCCTTTGAGCCTCAAGGTCTGGAAGAAGCTTTAGGGTGTGCAGTTGGTCTAGATCTGTTGACCCCAGTGACTGAGCCTTTGAGGGACATTTGGCTCACTCCTCCAGAAGAGCAGTGATAAATTTAGAAAGGATGAGTTGCTACAAGGAGTTGCGCTCTGTTGATTTCCATGAAGCCTTTAGCATCCCACAAACATAGAGACTGGTTTAGTTTTCCAGAAGTCTCTCCAGCTGCTTGGCTTCCGCAGGTTGCTCTTCCAGTGTTGGGGTGAGCAGTGGCCCTCTGAGGTGACTCTGTTTTTGAAAGCCACCAAATGGCTTTGACTCACTAAGCCTGGGCCAGGCATACTCAGAGGTATAGCTAATACAGTAGAAATTGGAATAAGGGTTTGTCTGAAATTCAGTAGGACTTACTGGTTAGACAGGTGGCTTCAGGAAATATGTGCTTGAAGGAAGCACGCTTAAACAAAATAGAGTAATTCCCTCAAACAAACTTAGATAAATCACCATTATAAAATCATTAGCAAGGTAATGAGCTACTCATGTCATTAAGCAGTGGCATGAGCTGAGCAAAGAATGTGAGTGTTGCTTTTCTAGTGGGACACATTAATTAATTCATGATAGAGTGAAAAATCAAAGCTTTAAAGAAAAAAAAAAAATTACATTTGCAGAGCTGAAAAGCCAAGGCCTCCTGACACAGGGTGTACTGCAGAAATGGTGGCCATTTTAGCTCTACTTGTCTCTTTAGCCTCAGACATTAAGGAATAATCATACTTGAACTGTATGTAAATCTTTCTGGCTGAAGAGCATAAGGTTTGTCTAAACCAGACAATTTTTGTGGAGTCAGGCATGGTGTGGTCTGAAGGAGGCCTAGCTGATCTGAAATAACTCGCTCAGCTATCTCATGGGATAGACCCAAAGCGTATTAGTGTCTTGGGCAGCTTTTGGTGCAAACAGCTTATGCCTAGGAACTGTGAGTCCAGCGAGGGCCGAAGAAGTGCAAGTGTCTGTTCTGGGTCTGCAGTGCCAGCGTGGCTGATGTCAATGCTGCAGGAATCACGCTGCCTAATTTTGTCACTGCAGCAATTAGTTTTCTTTTATGTATAATATGCCTGTGAGGATATTACCTTACTATTTTGCTTTTTTTTTTCTTGGGTTTTAGGTTTCATAGACCGTAGCAGTTCAATTCTACCTGACTACTATGCCGTCTTCAAAACATAACTAAAAGGAACCATAAGTGCTGGTATTATTCACTTCCCTGTTACGTACAATGTAAATCTTCTGACCTGCCTTTTTAAAAAAAGAAGAGTAGAAAAATAAATATTATTTAAAAAAAAGGAAAAATTGTATTTACATGTGATGGGTACTGCAGCATCATCAGACCTGCTGGTTCAAGATTCAATAACAGAAAATACCCCTGGTGGGAATCATGCCAAGACTTGTCATCCATGTATAAGACTTTCCTGGCATGTGGATTTGCCATACATGTTCAAGCTCAGCTGGTGGTGCATCCATTTCATCTTCAGGCACCCTTCATCCTGACAAGCCTCTGTCATCAACTCTAGAGAGCCCTGAGATGGTGTTCAGGGAATCACTGGCCTGGGTGAAGTCTCCAAAAGACTGGCACCTATGGCACTAAAGCACTTATACCAAACACTGCTTTCAGGCTGTGAGCACCTTATGAGAACAGTGAAGGAGCAAAACTCCTCTACAGGCCAGCCCATCTGTGAGTATCATCTGACTAGAAGGGCATTTTTTTCCCTGCAGAAGTTTATGGCCAGTCGATAGGCATTGTTCAGCTCCCAAGCAGAAAAAGGCATCACCTGTAAAGAACAGGACTCCCTACTGAAGGCTGGTTCAGTTCTAGAAACTGTTTTTCATCTCTTGCAAGTATAATTTTCTAAACCAAGTTGTGAGCCCATCAGCAGTAAGCGACAAGAATGTTGAGGACAAGCAAGCAAAACCTATCTCTTCATGGTCACTGCATGGCATTTGCTCAGCTTGTAGTTTGTTTTTACACCCAAGCCTCGTGATTGTGTGAGAGCCGACACGCACCCAGCAGCAAGAAAGGCTGGGATTCCCACCCGCTCAGCAGAGGGACACATGACGGGAGGAACTGGGGGTTCGATGAGGTATATCTATCCTCTCTGTATCAGGTGTTTCAAGAACTGATCCTAAACTCACACTGAGAAAAGCATGAGAGATTGTGTTACCTGGCCTAACAAAAGGAGTCTGCTGCATTGGTATGGATGGTGAGACTTGTCACCGGTACCCACAGCTGAGGCGTAAGGACAGCGATCCAGGGGTGTTCTGTTTTCATTTTAATTTATTTTTATTATAGTGGTTTAACAGACAAACTGGCCAAGTAGAGCTCAGAGAGCTGGTCACTCTGGGCCTGGTTTACCTGCCAACTTAACCATGTGCTTAACACTAAGTAAGCATGCAAACAGCCTCACTGCATTCAAGAACACGTCTGACAAGCTTAATTGAAGCCGAATACATGTAAGTGCTTTTCTGAACTTTGGCCAGCACCTCCCAGAATCAAGTCCTTAACTAGTATAACGCCAGCAAGCTGGGGCAAACATTGTCTAGGATTCCTTTCCAGCTCCAGCAAGAAACTATCATGTCATGTTTTGGGCCACTGGCCCAAAGCACTGTAGCAACATTACTGTAAGAAGTTCCAGATTATTACTTCAGGACACCTTTTTTTCTTCCAAAATAGCTATTCCGCTTTGACAGTTTGAACAGAGAGGCCAAAGTTTTTTACTACAGTGTTGTTATTTCTGTTATTATTTTATTAATTTTTCCCTTCCTCGCTGTCTTCCACGTATCTATCCACTCTTCTGTGCTCCCTCTCTACCTCCCCCGATGCCGTGCTAACATTGCCCTTTACTGATTGCGGGCCGAGAAGCCTCTCGCACGTGAGCATTTAATGGCCAATGCTGCTTAGTGCCAACACTCCTGCCTCTTCTCAGGCCTCCGTCTCATTCCTCTGGTCGCAGGAGTAAAGCAAAAGGACCATGGGGTTGTTCTAGCATCCAGCCTGCCGAACGACACCGGCAGCGAGGCTAGCGCACTCCATTTACGCTTAGCGGTGGTACTCAATACCTCACAGATTTGCTCTCCATCAGAGACTAGTGAAAGCAGTTCATTCTCATCTGTGGCCATGCTTGCAATGCTACAGGTTATTAGCTATTAAATAAGAATTGGCTGTCGTAGGATGGAAAGGAAAGTAAAAAGCAGCTGGTTTCTGGTGCCTCGTTTTTGAGGCAGCACGCCTCTGATGCGATACACTTCCCAGACCAGGTAACGATTTCTGAAGAACACACAGTGATCCCTGTATCACCAGCTCACAGTTGCTTTAGATACAAGTTCATCAGTAGTGGAAGCCTTTAATGTGCAATGTTATCAGCTCAGTGCAGCAAAGCCAGAGCACTTACATACTAGCCAGGAATACACCGCTTTGGGATTATGTTCATGAAAACCTGGGGTTCATGTTTTGAAATTCATTCACATACACGCCTAACAAGACTGCATCACAGTTTTAAAAAGGGAAAACAAAACTCTAGGCTTTTGGCTACACACACTGCGTTAGGACAGGGCTCTGCAACACAGCCGTTTTGAAGAGCAACAAGCCCTCATGTTCCCAGCATGGATCCCACACCTGCCCTGGCGGCATTAGCTTAGGGGTTCGGTGTGAAAGGGAAGGAGGCCTTTTAAGGAGCAGTGGTGACAGAAGTCAACGGGACTCAGTAGGCTGGTGGGAGGAAAAAGTGGAATTTTTTTTTTTTTTTCATTTTATGAATAAAATGAAGAGGAAAGAGGTGGAAGTAGCAGACTCTGTTGTCAATGCTGGAGTCCCCGGAGGAACGGGTAGCCTGTGGGCAACGTCACTCGGTACTGCCACTGTCCCTCGTGGCGTGGACCCCAGCAGTGCCCCCGCCTGCCAGTCTGGTAGCCTAAATAAACCCTTGGGCACTGGGTGAGGCATGTAACGGCCGCGTCCTGGGTGACGGCCAGACGTTCCCCAGCCACCCTGCCTTCATCTGGATGGGCCCAAGGTAGATCCCTGCTGATCGCTGAGCAAGTTGTCACACTCTGCCTGCCTCAGGATTCATGCTGTCCCCAGGGCAGCTATACGTGGCAATGCTTTTTGCTTTTTTCTTTGTTTTTTAAAATGATGTTAACTCCTGGCTGAGCAGACACCAGGACACAGTGGAAGAACTGCCATATTTCTCCCGAATTGCAAGAAGAGCTTATTACTGAAAAGGGAGAAGGAGGAGGAGAAAGAAGCCATATAAAGTGTTTGGCACTGTAGTAGGCATTGCAGAACTGGCACTTCATCTGGTTTTAGCTTCAGTGAGTCTAAGTATTTTGCAAAGTTACCTTTTTGGTGAGGCATTCTTCAACAACCTTTCAGTGCCTGAATGCTGCAGCGTGTTCTCAGTTTGCATGCCCACCTCTGGCATCCATGGGAAGTTGCAAGCAGACTGGGGAACAGCTAGTCTTTTTTTTTTTAAATCTGTTTTCTTGAGCACTTGTTTTCTCATCTGTGAAAGCCATCTCTATCACAGCAAAGTAGTTGTGATTCTGTTGGGAATGAAAAAAAAAAAAAAACCCCACCAACCACAAACAAACCCAAACAGTCATGATTTCCCCCACCTTCAACCTGGATTATGTGTAGGACATAAAAAGAATGCCATCGCCTTTAATATTGCAGTTAATACCGGTCATCCTCATTCATATTAAGAGAAGATTAATAGTAGTAATAAAGAAATTGCATCAGGGTTAGAGAATGGAAAAATCAATGCAGAACAAAAATGGCTATTCCAATCCTCCATCACCAGGGCCTATAATGGAGGTAATATTCTAGAATCAGGGAAGAAAAACATTTTGGTTATAATCTGCTGAATCCTGATGGGCTATTCATACTTAAAATGTGCAAGTATTGTGACATCTGTTCTACAGCCTATGGAAAGATGAGGTGGAAAACAGGGGGGTGGGGTGTGTGGAGGTGGCAGGGATTGGTAAAGCAACTCCAAAACATCTAGAGAAAAGCTTTGATTGTTTGAAAAAAAGCGATGGCAAGGAAACACGATGGTGGCATCGCCCTCCCACCCACACCCTCACCAGCAGTGGGCTGCAGGGACCTGGCAATGTACTTATGGCTAACGGGGAAGGTCATCCTTGTGGTCTTGCCCGACCCGACGCCCCGCTGGTTGGGTACTTGCAAGCTGAAGAAGTTTCAGGCTGCAGGTTTGTTGGGATGGGGCTCAGGTTAGCTTTTGTGTGTAGACAATTCCTTGTGCGCACTTACCAGAAGAGAAGGAAGGAGAGGGAAAGAATATAATAGACTTTTAACTATTTTATGTTAACTGAAATTATTTAGTGAGCCCATTACACAAATATATTTCAGCCTAATACTTATATGTAACCACAGCACTTTGTCATCACTGCAACTAGTCACCAAACTCACCCTTTGTTACTTCTACAGTGCCGTCTGTACAGTGGAAACACTATAAACCAACAGAGGGGGAGCACTTCCAACATGCCTAGTAAAAGCTTGCACTCACAAAAAAAAAAAAAAGGGGGGGGGGGGGAGGAGGAAAACCCCACTGTTATAAGCATAG